AAGGTGTCAGCTTCTTGATACAACTTCTTTTTGATACAATTTAACCTCTTTTTTACTTTCTTCAAATTATTGCAGCTTAACTTCTTTTTCATATTATCTTCCAGTTCCATTGCAAGTGCTTGAATTAGGAGCAAGCCAATTAATTAATTTCTAGTAGTAGCAACCAGTCACTATTTTTATTTGGCTAGAAGACTTCTTTTTTCAAATGGGCTGGTATTGGCTCTCTATCTCATGTTGATGGCTCAGTTGCTCTCTAATAGGTTATAGAAGTAGCATTTCAGTCATCTTTTCTATCTGGCTGGAAGCCTTTTTAATAATACACTGACAATGTTTTCCACCTCTCACACTGGAACTCAAACTCTCAAAAAACTATTCATTTGGAGAGTTTGAGTTCCAGTGTGAGAGGTGGAGAGCATTGTCAGTTTATTATTAAAAGAAGTCTTCCAGCCAGATGCAGTATTGTTATCAATGTTATTCTACAAGGTTCTTCATTTTCCATCATCTGTTCAGAAGAATATATCTTTCGAAATGGTTGAACATTCCGGAGAATATTTTTAACAACCTATACAACAACCAATAACTGTTGAATACCTGTATATATTTTGTACTCGTCTTATGTATTTTGTACTTCAGGAATAATTTTTGTACTCTGTTCACTTTAATATTTAAAAATTAATTGAGTGCAGTTAGGATAGTTTTCCTTTATTGGGATCTTTTTCTGAAGCACTTTTTGGCTGTTACCATCTATTTTAAGCTGGTGACAGAGGAGACATAACTCTGCACAAGCAATCACGTCACCTTAAAGAAAAGGATGCTGTTAGTTACCTCCATGCTACCATGGATGGAGCATAACAACAGGGTCTCAGTTAATTACTCTCAGCATCCCACAATTAAGAGGGTATACCAATTTTGAAATATTTATTTGCTTCACTTCACTATGTTTATTTGCTTCACCTGGAATTAAATCCAAACAAATGGTGACCATATAAAATAAGGTTGTTATTCCTGTTTGGTCCTTGGATCTGTTATACAGCTTCATTATATTGCATGCTAATTGCTGTTCACCCTCTACCTATATGTATGGACTGGTAATTTCCATTTCAATGTACCTGAAGAAGTGTGCATGCACACAAAAGCTCATACCTTGAATAAAACTTTGTTGGTCTGAAAGGTGCCACTGGACTCAAATTTTGTTCTGTTGCTTCAGACCAACACGGCTACCCACATGAATACTTGCATTGTATTATTTATGTATAACCTAGCTACTTCTGGTATATTGATCACATGGAGCATTGGTACTGTACAGCACCCGTTTCCATAGATATATTCAGGGCTATTTTGGGGGAGGAAAGCACAGGAACGGAGTTCCGGCTGGCTTCAGAGTTGGCCACGCCCACTACAGCCAAAACCTCTCCGTGCATGGCTACAGAGGGAAGGCCTGGAGAGCGGACCCACCGGGGGGGCGCCCCCCCCCCCCGCGGATTCTGAGGTGGAGGGCCGGGGGGGGAGGGCTGCTCCTAGGGCGCCCAGGCAAGCCAAGGGAAGGCAGTTTAAAATGCTAGAGCATCAATACGTGATGTGCCCAGCATGATGATATCACTTCCAAGTGATGTCATTGTGGCGTGCACACTTTCCATGCACACAAGAAGAGACCGATTCGGGAGCCCGCCAGCTAAAAGCTAGGTATGATCTGGTAACCCTGCTAGGAAGGTTTGCTATTTTAGTGAAACCTGGCACATCAGTCATTACGGGTGTTGACATAATTATGGAGTAGTCTCTATTATTCTTCATTATAAGTGAATTTTACATAACCACATCTCAGTTTATATTTCCTTGACCCAGATCACAGAGTCGCTATTTTGGGCTTAGGTAATTTCTGGAGATTTGGGGGCAGCACCTGTTTCTCCTCTGACGCTGCCATTTTCTCCAGGGGAACTGATCTTCGTCATCTGGAGATTAGTTGTAATTCCTGGAGGACTCCAGCACCCCCACCTGGAATTTAGCAAATTAAGCAGAGCTAATAAGATGAGTACATACTGAGGATCCACTCACTGCACCAGGAGTGACCTCTAGTCCATGAAGGTTTATGCTGGAGTAAAATTTCTTCAGTGTTTAAGGTGCCACGAGATTCCTGTGTGTGCGTTTTTTTGGTTTTAGGGCAAACTACAGACAAAGAAGGGAGCTATAGTTGATTATGAGGTATTCCTGAAATATGCACATAAATATGCACATAAATATCAGTGGTCTGATGACTGACAGTACAATTCTATGTGTTAGACTGGGATAACTGCATAGGATTTGGCTGTTATTAGCATGCTTATTGTTCCCCAGGAGGCAAGGAATATTGAGACAATTGACCATTAGTTGTGGGGGGGAACAAGATAAGGAGATCAGCCAGTCATGCCCAAGATATTTTTTGACTGGGGAGGGGGATTTCCATATGATTTATTCCTCCACACTTCCTTGTGAATCCCCCGTTTGTTTAATAACCTTATGAGCTAGTTCACTTCTTTGTAGCACTTCTCTAGCACGCAGCTCAATGTAGCGTTTACACTGTGCCAGGAAGGCTGGAAACTCCTCCATATTACCACCAAACCTTTCAGGCGGGCTTACCAGGCATTTGGGTGGCACAACAGCAGCGATGATGGTGGCTTGCTGTATTTGTTGTTGCAGGTGAACAACCAGTTGCGTGAGGTGCTGCACCTGGTTGAGCAGGTCTATACACTGTGCCAGGAAGGCTGGAAACTCCTCCATATTACCACCAAACCTTTCAGGCGGGCTTACCAGGCATTTGGGTGGCACAACAGCAGCGATGATGGTGGCTTGCTGTATTTGTTGTTGCAGGTGAACAACCAGTTGCGTGAGGTGCTGCACCTGGTTGAACAGGTCTACCAGAGGTTCAAAGCCACCATTTGCCCCTTCTTCCATCTTGTGGAGTGAGCATGTTGGGGTGGAAGCAATCTGTCATGGGATGGGGTGCCAGTCAAAGGGAGTCCAGAACAGGCCAAGGTCAGGAACCAAGAAGACAGTGCAAAGTCCAAAAAGCCAAGCCGGGGTCAGGAGCCAGAAACACAGAGTCAAGTCCAAATCACTAACCAGAAACGTAGTCCAAAGCCAAGCCAGGGTCAGGAGCCAGGAACACAGACCAAGCCCAAAGCCAGGGGGTCCAAAGAT